TGTTCCTACTGAGAATCCTAATTGTTCCACATTATCACCAAACAGTATTATCAATCATTCTAACTTTATTCATTTTTAAATTAAATTTTATTTGTTTTGTGTGTATGAGTATTTTGTCTGCATGTATGTCTGTGCACCACATATGTACCTGGTGTCTTAGGAGCTCTGGAGAGAGCATTGGATCCCCTGGAGCTGGAGGTATAATTGGTTGTGAGCCATCATATGGATCCTAGGAGCCGAATCTGGGTCCTCTGCAAGAGCAACAAATGCTCTTTATTACTGAGCCATCTCTCCAGCCCTGATAGCTTTTAATTTTATCCATTTTAATACAGATTCTGTGGCTCATGAGCATAGATTTTGCTAGTCTTTTCCCATGAGAATGATGTTGAGCATATTTTCATGTGTATATTTGCCCCTTCCACACAAAATATCTGTTCAAATATTTTATTTTTTTCTTTAAATGGTGCGATCTTCTGCTTGAGTTGCAATTTTTTTTATATTCTAGATACAAATCTTAAAAAAATTTTTTGTTGTTGTTGCCTTGCCTGGACTGTAACTTCCTGTACATTGATCTGGTCTTGAACTCATAGAAATCTGCCTGCCTCTGTCTTCCAAATCCTGGGGGTTAAATGTGTGTAGTAATATATACAACCTAAATCTTTTATCAGCTATGTATTCTTTATATATTTTCTTCTAGTTTATAACTTGCTTAAGAATATTTTCCAAAGAAATGGAAAGTTTTAATTTTGATGAAATGTAAGTTACTAACTAGCTTTCTTTTTTTTTCTTCCTATTTTGGGTTAGAGTTTTATGTAGCCCAGGCTAGCCTTGAACTCACTATGTAACCAAGCATGAACTTGAACTTATGATCCTCCTGCCTCCACGTTCCACATGCTGAGGTTAGAGGCATGTACTATCGCATCTGGTTTATGTCTGGGGATTGAACCCATGACTTTACACATACTGGGCAAACACTGTACCAACTGAGCTATTTTCCTAGTTTTGTTGTTTCTTTAAATATATTTCTTAGGTATGAATATTCTATATCCATGAATGCCTGCATGACAGAAGAGGGCATCAGATCCCATTATAGATGGTTGTGAGCCAGCTACCAACTGAGTTAGTTTTCTGTGGTTTATGCTTTTATGTCTTATCTTGGATTAAACACATGTATTTTATAGTTTTAAGTATGTTTGATGTGACTTTCAGTCACATCTCTTACTACTTTTGTCTTGTAGTCTCTAAGGATCAACTATGCATCTACACTTTGTCAAGGTATTGGATTCATGAACAGAACCTTTTCTCCCCATCTTCTGTGCTACCGCTATAGTTTCTATTTTGCACCTGACCATATCTGGATGCTCCTCTACTTAAGATGGGGTTATATCCTGATCAGCCCATCATAAGTTAAGAAGAGTGAATGTAAAATGCCTTTAACTCACCTTACCGAATATCACAGCTTAGCCTCACCTACTTTAAATGTGTTCAGAACACTTCCATTAGCCTATGGTTGGGTAAAACCATCCAACATGAGGCTGGAGAGATGGCTCAGCAGTTAAGAGCACTGGGTACTCTTTCAGAGGTTCTGAGTTCAATTCCCAGCAACCGTGTGGTGGCTCACAACCATCTGTAATGGGATCTGATGCCCTCTTCTGGCATGCAGGCATACATGGAGACAGAGTACTCATATCTAAAAAAATTATTTAAAAAACCAGCAAAATAACAACAAAAACCATCCAACACGAGGTCTGTCTTATAATAAAGTATTGATTAGCTTGTGCAGTTTAATGAGAACAGCATTGGGTACCATATGGAAATGCTGTCATCATTACAAAACTGAAAAACTGTTAAATGGGCCATCTATATTGTTATTACTTTCAGTTATAAAATTTTGATTTAATTCTTCAAGTCTGTATTTAGGTAGGAATAAGCTATTTATCCAGCCATCATTATCAGGCTTGACCTATAGCATATTTAGCATGTTTATAATGCTAATTTAAATTTTTTACCCATTAATTCCTAATGACGAGGTCACCTGGGGATCTGCTTCTATTGTTTGTTACTGACTTTTCTCACTTTTGTTAATGTTCTTATTCTTTGCTTGCTTCACTGTATTTAATTATGGAGATTGATGCATAGCGTTTGTTTTGATTACTTTTTAGAGCACACATGTCTGTTTTGCAGCTGACCGTTGAGGTTCTTCCTATAGTGTGGCTGCACTGCAATCTTCCTTGGGTGCAGTTTATCTGTGATGATTCCATCCCAAACTTGTGCCTCCTCCTTCATCTGGTCATCAGTATTGGAGTTGGGGACATTAGATTGTAGTTTGCTTTGCATGTCCCGTCCATCTTGCAGTCCACCCACCTTGAAGTTGAAGTAGAACTGGGTAATTAGTCTTTACGCTTGCCCTTGCATTCTCATTTCCTGACTTTGCAATATGAGGCTAGTTGGTCTGAGTAGTTTATTTTTACCTTTGGGGTTCTTCCAGGTCTCTTGCACGCATCCTGCCAGCCCACACCATTTCTGGTAGCTCTGCTTTCCTTCAGTTTGGCTGAACTGGAGCCCTGTTTCCCAGAATTCTCTTTCCCATGCTTCTAGGCTAGTGTAGGCCACAAGAGACATTGTTCATAAATCTTGAACAATAGATGCAGAGTTGCAGGTAGATTGTTTTACATTCTGACGGTCAGCGAGGTTCCAGGAATACTAGCTGGTATGGGCGGCACCTGACCCTAGTTTCCCTGACTACTCTGCAGCACCTTTTTTTTTTTTTTTTTTTTTATCTTTTCCAAGCTGCAGGTCAACATCATGTTGTTTCCCTCCTTCTTGTCCTACATAGGCCGAGGGTGAAGCTTTTTCTGTAGCTCACCATCCAGTTCATAAAGACTGGCATTGTGAGGTCCAGTGCCCCCTCCCCCATATACTTTGTAATGAGATTTCTCTTTTTTCCTCTCCTCTCCTCATCTTCCTCTTTTTCCTCCTCCTTCACCTATTATTTTCAGACAGGGTCTCATGTGGTTCAGAATGACCTCCAACTCACTATGCAGATGAGGATGATCTTGAATCTCTGATCCCCTCGCCTCTTCCTCCTCTTGCAAACTGAGATTACAGGAGTGTGTCATTATGACAGATTTATGCAGTCTAGAGGAGTGAACGCAGGGTTTCCTGAGTGCCAGCTAGGCACTCTATCAACTGAGCCATATACTCAGTCTTTCACTGTGCTTTCATGGTGTCCCTGTGCTGCTCAGTTCACCCTTGTCAGTCCTGTTTGTTCTTGCTTTTTCCATATTTAGTTTCCTTTCTAACTGTGATTTTGCAACACTCTTAGCAATGGCACAATGAAAGATAGAAGACAGAGGCTTTGGGGATAGGGAGAGTAATGGTATTGTTTTGAGAGGTTGTGGAACCTTTATGTCATGGGGCCTATCTGGCAGGCATAGGGATGTAGGAGTGGGGCTTGAGAGTTCTAGCCTAGGCTTTCTGTCCCATCCCCTTCTCAGGAGCTGGTTATTCTGCATGCCTTTCTCACTGTGATGAACTGTTCCCACTCAAAATAAAATCCTTCCTCCTTTCTGTCACAGTGTTGGGCAAAGTAGCTAACATTATCTTTCTCTTGAGGTGTGTAGCAGTTCCTTTCCAAGGAAATTTTAAGGAATTGTACTTGGGTTTTTTTTTTAGATGCAGCCCTGGGCTGACACAGGTCTTGAAATAGGCCTGTTTTGATTCGGTTGTAGCAAATATTGGGATGAACCTGAGGCTAGGGGATGCTTTGTTAATAAGATTCAACAGTTCTTGTCTTAGTGTGCCCCAATGGAGCAGTAGTCACATAGTCTTATGCTCACAAAATATCTAGTCTAGGAATGTCTGGAACTAGTGTTGGTCAGCATTTCCCCATGTCATATGAGGGCAATAATTGCCCTCTTCCTGTACTATGGTGAGATTTCCCTCCTGAGTTTCATGGTCTTCTCAGCCTGACTAGGAGCTGACAAACAACTGACTCTTTCTTACCTAAATCTGTTTCCCAATTGGGAATTCAGCCTTGTAAAGCTGATGAATCATAATTTATCCTTCATCATTTCTAGGATCTTCGCTGAATGGACAAACTGGAATGGAAACACAACCTCCAAACTAGAAGTTAAAACTGAGGCTAATGAAGGAAAAGAAGACTCACTCAAAAGCAAGTAGCCTTAAGCGCCACACTGGCCCTGAGTCCTATGTTTCAGAATTTGTGGTCCAAGGTCCTTCTCATTCCTAACTCCAGGTACCCAGGGAAATGAAAGAACATATGGCTTTTACCTGGCTTCTCTTTAACATAACGGAGTCCTGTCTTTATTTTTTTTTCCCCTCTATAGTAGGAGCAGAGAGTTAGAATACAGTGACAGCCGTAAATTCATCCCTGACCACAAAGTTAAACTCCATAACCTGAGTCCTGGGGTTTTCTCTCTGATACTGGTGGCCACAGTTAGAACAGATGATGCAGGATCGAGTCATGGATGGTTTTGTCTAACTCAGTGGTTCTCAGTGGAGGGAGGGGGTGGTTTTGTACACATTTAGCAATATCTGGAGCTGTTACTAGTTTTCATGACTTAGAAGACTATGGGGAGATGCTTCTGGAATCCAGTGTAAAGACCAGGAGTAATATTAAATACCCTACAGTTCACAGGGCATTTCTCCATAACTAAGAATTACCCAGCCCCAATTGATAATGTCCTTATAAACTATTTGTGATCAATACAATGGGGGCATCATTAAGCCTGCTGTATCTGAGATGTAACTAGCCACTTAACGAAGAGCTCATGTCCGTGTATCTGGGATACCATAGAGAGATGCCCTAGGTTGGACTCTGTCCCAGTAGGCCGCATTCTAACAGGGTTCACCTTTGCTTAACAGCATGAGAAAGCCAAAGGCTTTGATGCTTGACATTGGCAAGCTCCTCATAATGTCCATTTTTTTTTTTGCCAATATCTGTTTTTGCTGTGGAAAATCCTTTTGTGCAGTGTGAAGATTTGTTACTGTGATTGGTTTAATAAATAAGCGGACTGGCCTATAACTGAAGAGGATAAAGTTAGGTGGGACAGCCAAACTGAGAATGATGCGATGAAGAAAGGTGGAGTCAGAGAAGCTGCCAGCCAGATGGAGAATGACTCGGACATACAAAATGGGAAAGAGGTAAAGACCACAAGCCTTAGGGCAGTACATGGATTAATAGAAATGGGTTAAGTTGTAAGAGCCAGTTAGTAATAAGCCTGAGCTTGTGGCCGATCATTTATAATTCAGCCTCTGAGTCAATTATTTGGGACCGGGCATTTGAGATAGAAAACACCTGATTACGTATTTTGAATATGTTTACTTAACATGTTTTATTTCCACTAATATGTTTCCATTCTAAAATAAAGATATTTAATGTTTTATCAACAATTCCCAATTCTCCCACCATATACCATCTTCAAAATTTCTTACACATCTTAAAAAGAAGACTATGGTGACATTTTTAGCTCAGGATCAGTCTCCCTGCCAGCCAGCGTTGGCAAGTTAATCAACCTGTGAGCTCTGTCCTCCTCACATACAGAATAGAGCTAATGATTCCTGTATTGTAATATGGTAGACATTGCTTAAGACAGGGCATGCAAGTGTACTTAGCATAGAGTACCCTACAGTTGACTGGGTTTTCCTTTAACTGTATCTGGGATTTTGTTTTAATCAGATGGGGTAAGATGAGAAATATAAAAGGAACTTGGAAGAAGAACATATTGCAGTTCTCAAGAAGACAGACATGCTAAACTGCCCAAGGACACAGGAGGAAGCACCTAGGTTAGTAAGAAAGCAAAGGGTACAAGGCCATAGTGAGTCTTCACTGGGGTATTGGCAAGGAAAACCAAGGTTGAGTAAATTTACATAACACTGGGGGTTCCAGGCTAAAAAGCTGGTGTCTGGTTGCTGGGTACCTGTCTCTGGGCTGACCTCAGGCATGGGAAAGTCAGTGCTGCCTTGGTGTATGAGGGCTGTTAAGATGATTAGGTAATTTGGGTTGGTTGGCTTGTGTATGAAGGATAACTGGTTGGTTTTTGTCTTGACACAAACCTAGACATAGCTGATGTGGAAGTTTGAGTGAAAATGGCCCCATAGGCTCATAGGGACTGGCACTATTGGGAGGTGTGGCCTTGTTGGAGGAAGTATGCCACTGGGGGCTGGCTTTGAGGTCACAGATGCTCAAGCCAGGCCAGTGGCTCAATCTCTTCTGCTGCCTGTAGATCCAGTTGTAGAACTCTCAACTCCTTCTCTAGCACTGTGCCTGCCCACATGCCTCCTTGCTTCCTGCTACGATAATAGACTAAACCTCTGAACTGTAAGTCAGCCCCAATTAAATGTTTTCCTTTATAAAAGTTGCCATAGTCATGGTGTCTCTTCACAGCAATAAAACCCTAACTAAGATAACTGGGAAGAAAGAATATTAATTGAGAAAATGCCTTCATAAGATTGGCCTATGGAGCATTTTCTTGATTGGTGATTGATGTTGGAGAGTCCACCTTACTGTGGGTGGTGCCATCCTTAGGGATATGGTACTGCATGGTATAAGAAGACAGTCTTAGCTGGGTGGTGGTGCATACCTTTAATACCAGCACTCGGGAGGCAGAGGCAGGCAGATCTCTGTAAGTTTGAGGCCAGCGTGATCTGTGGAATGAGTTCCAAGACAGCCAAGGCTACCCAGAGAGACCCTGTTTTGAAAAAAAACAAAACAAAAAACAAACAAACAAAAAACACCCAACAAAAAACCACTACCACCATCAGCAGCAGCAGCAAAAATGAAAAGAAAAAAAAAAAAAGCAGCCTTAGCAAGTCACTCCCCCATGGCCTCTGCATCAGAACCTTCATGTTTCTGCCTGGAGTTCCTGTTCTGGTAATAGACTCCAAGCTCTAAGCTGAAACAAACTCTTTTCTTCCCATATTGCTTTTGGTCATTGGTGTTTTTCTTAACAATAGAAACCCTAACCCGGATGTTTGTAGGCCAGTCTTAACTATCTCTATGAACCTTTCCCTCAAAGGGACAGGCTCTCCAGCATCAGCAAAACCCTAGGATGTCAAAACTTAATAAAACACAGAGGGTAAAAAAAAATATGTGGCCACCATGGTGGTATGCATGGCTTATGGTCATTAACATCATGTTCTTTGCCAGCTGAAGTGACTGTGCTGACTTTTAATGGGCAGGCTGCTCCTTTGTCCTTCCCTGGAAGCTTTCTCACTCTGCCTGTCTTTCTTTTACAGGAAGATGGTGACACCACAGTCTTCAGTGCTCAGACTTCCAGATGACAGTGTAACAGAGACTGGTGTTCATAGAGAGGCGAGAAAGACCCCAGATTCCTGCCTCTCCAAAGCCCAGCCTCTGCGGCGGCGTATTTCTATTTCATGCTGGTAGAATGAAGCTAATTGCAAATTCTCAGCTGCTGTGATTCCAAGTGAGTAGCCAGAAGCAGCATGCAACAGTGCAGGAACCTGCTGCTGTGGTTAGAAATCAATCAGAGAGCACAGCTTCCTGAGTAAAGCTGCCCTTTGTGTAGGAGGAAGGGAAGGAGGGGCTGGGGACCAGATTCCTTTGCAAGTGGCCTCCACGCTGGGCCTGTGCTTCCCAAGGCTGACTCACAACACTACAGAACAGCCTTCTGTGAAATTGGAGGCCTCTTGGGATTCAATTCAATAAAGATCAATAATGCCAGCCGGTGGCCATTTGAGGAAGGCTGGGTGAGTGGAGGGTGGAGAGGCAGGAATTATTTTTTTCCTTGGAGCTTATTGGGATACTCAAGGTGCTGGGGAAGGGTGTAGCAGCCACTGGGATTTTTTTTAAAAAGCTGCATTTAACAAGTCCACTTGTATAGGAAAAGGTGAGACATGGTTATAATCCTTGCACTAGGGATACTGAAGTAGGAGGGCCACAAGTTTGAGGCCAACCTGAGCTATATAATAAATTCAAGGCTAATAAGGCCCTGCCTCAAAACAAAAAATTTAAAAAACTAAGCAAAACAAAACAAAACAAACTCGAACTAAAAATAACAAAAAAAACCCCAAAAAACAAACAAAAAACCAAACCCAAACTAAAGCTAACAATGACAATAAAGTCACGTTGACTGACTTAAGGAACTTTATGGTATTGCCTGAGTGGATGTTCATGCAGGCAATGGGTTTTATTTTTTTTTTTTTTATTTTTTTTTTATATTTATTTATTTTGTATGCAGTTAGCCAGAAGAGGGCACCAGACCTCATTACAGATGGTTGTGGACCACCATGTGGTTGCTGGGGGATTGAACTCAGGACCTTTGGAAGAGCAGTCAGTGCTCTTAACCACTGAGCCATCTCTCCAGCCCAGGCAATGGGTTTTAGAACTGTGGGACACTGAACTTCATGAAGTCATCAGAGACATCTGTTTTTCCCCTCCTCTTTATGGGAGTGTGCGTGTGTGCGTGCGTGTGCATATGTGCTTATGCTCATATATGCAGGTGCATATGCGTGAACATTTGTGAGGGGCAGTTGTCGACATCAGGTGTCTTCCCCTGTTCCTCTCTCTTTTTTTTGAGGCAGGATCTCCCACTGACTCTGGAGCTTGCCTTTCTACTAGACTGACTGCCCAGGGAACCTCGAGGATCCGCCTGTCTCTGACTTCCTGGTACAGAGATTTCGTATACTGCTGAGCCCAGGATTATTTCATTTCACCTCAAAATTTAATGTTTATTGAATTAATTTTTTAATTAATATAGGAACCTGTTAGAACTGGTTTAAGGAAAATTAAACATATTACATATAGATATTCACTCTAGTACAGAAATGTTAATTTAAGTCTGGCATGATGGTGTATGCCTGTCATTCCAGTAGTTGGGAGGTAGAGGCAAAAGAATTACAAATTCAAGGCCAACCTCAGCTACATAGATAGCTAAATCAGACCAATGTGGGCTACATAGTGATATCCTGTCCTAAAAGACCAGGGAAAAAATGGCTAATGAACAAACTGCAATCTTTGGGGTTATTTGTTTCAACTTTGTTGAATAAGAAGATACCAGTTAAAAAGCTGCTCTGTTCCATAGCATGATAAGTAGCTTAGTCCATGAAAGGTGGGCCCAGCACTTGAGATCATTTATGACACATTTGCACTGATTTCATTTATTATCAATTACTTTTGAGTATGTGAACTGAAAGTGGAAGGGCTGTCTCCAGGTCCTTTATTGCCATCTTTTACAGAAAGGTTGGAATCTGACACAGCTTCCTTCTGAGTGCTTGCTTGCTTGCTCCCTTCCTCCCTGGGCATCTGTGTGGTCTTTGGTGGTACCATGTGTGATAGACATCAACATAGAACTTGTCTGTGGTAGGACCACGGACCCAGACGTAGCCATTGGTACAGCCTGGGCTTGGATGTCATCATGGCCCCTGTAGCAGCATGGCCCTCAAACACCAAAATGGCCTCAGACCCCTAGTGTCGGCCTTACCTTTGATGGTATCAGGAGCTATGGACCCAGATATGGCTCTCTGTGGCAATCCTGGCTCAGTTGACACCATGGCCCCAAGTAATAGCACACGGCACTCAGATTCCCAGCATCCACATGGTGGCTCACAACTGTTTGTAGTTCAAGAGGATCTGATATCCTCTTCTGGCCTCTGTGGGTACCAGGTATGTGGTGCACAGACAAGCTTGCAGGCAAAACTCCCATAGGCATAAATAAAATAAAAACTGGCCTTACCTCATTTCTTTTGCTTTGGCACAGAGTAGCTGCTCTCTTTGATCCCTGAGAGCAGGGGATTACCTTCTGTTCAGCTTTTTGTAACCTGAAGCGCTAGAGTTGTTGGTCTATGAGGGATGCAGCTCAGTGTTGGGTGGTCACAGAAGTTATCCCACCCAGTCAGGGATGCTTCTCATCTTCATAGACTTCTATAGGCTTCAGTTTGTCTATCCTGGACATGTTCCCAAAGCCTTTCCCAGCCTCCCCTGCAGCTCAAGTAGCCTCAATGACTTCACATTTTTCATTCCAGGATTTCTGGCTGTTTAAAACTTGGCCTGCTATGTTACTGTTCCTCAGGAGATGTAAACTTTCATATATGCACCCCAGATAGGGCAATGATTCTACTCAAGTCTGCCTCGGTGAGCCAATGAGTAGATTGGGCTTTCTTACAGGAGCATGGTTGGGAGTTACTTATAAGAGTGTTGAAAACTCAGAAACAGCTGCACCATTGGCAAGGCCCACTTATCACCAGCTCACCAGCTGCATCAGAGAATCACATCTTTAGTTAACCTTTCACCTTTCAAGATCACATCCAAGAAGAGCAGAAGGAGGTACTAAGTGGAATTTCAGGTGAGGGTCCTGTGACATTCCCCTTACTAGGGGGTTGTTAACAGCCCCTGCCATTGTCATTACCGTAGCCCTAGCTAACGTTGCATTATTCTGCTTATTTTGTTGCCATGACTACAGGGCCAAGTGTTATGTAAGGTCACCATAGCAACCTACATTTAATGGCCAACGGCCATGCCATGTTCATGCCCTAAAGAAATTGCTTTTGCCATCATGTGGTCCATTTTTGTTTTGTAGTTAGTTGTTTCTGTTTTGTTAGAGCCCATTCTTTCATAATGTCATCTCCTTAAGGTTGTCAACATAGTTACTTCCTTATCATTTTTAGACTGCTCCATTATTTTCGTTTTGTGGTGAGCATGCAGCACTCCCAGTTAGCCATGCTGTCTTTCTTATCACTTGGTAGCTTTGGTTTCCAGGCTCATCTTAAATGTCTTGCTTTGTCTCCCCCTCTCTGCTGTCTTACTCTCTTCTCATGAGTGATTTTGCAGTAACTTTCACCAGCTCGGGGGCCCACTTCAAAGTGAAGACTTGTGGTGAAGAATCAGGTCTTATGGTGGGCAGGTAGGAAGCATGTCACAGTTGCTGCCACCGAGGCTGCAGGTGATGCGGTCCCCCTGTTGCTGGAGGATGCTTTCTGTACCCTCTCCTGATGTCAGGGACAGTCCTAGTACTGTCTAGTGACATGTTCTTTAGCCACTGCCCCAGCTTTAAATCAGTAAGTCTGATTCCCACTCTCTGTCTTAAACGGGCTCTCTAGTGTTTAGTGCCCCAGTGTTCTGAGACCTGTTAGGTCCTGGGTCTTATTTCCTATAACATACTCCACCTGTTAATTTGCTCTATGTTCTTGGGCCAGTCAATTTAACGTTAAAGTTCAGTCAGTGTTCTTGATTGTAAAATTATGGTGTTTGGTACTTAGCTTCCAAGCCCTTGTCCACGTCAGCGTCCAGAAGTCTACAGGAAGATCCTTTAAACAGTGATCTCTGCTACAGTCAGGAGGGCTGTGAGAGTGTTTATTCAGTTCAGGCAAATGGTAAATGTGTCGGCTACTCTAATGAAATGAGTACATTTTTGCTCTAAATGTCATGGATGTTTATTGTCAGATTAAACTACAGCAGGCCTAATTTTAGCTCTTCCAATTCAAGTGGAGCAATGAAGATTAAATGTTAGGCATAATTAAAGATGCAGATGTAGTTATATTGAATTATAAACCTCATTAAGTGCAGCATCCCAGGAAGGCCCCTGAGACCAGCTACAAAGGACTTCTAGTCACAGTGCTAGAGTTATTAAAATATTCTAAAGTAAATCTCACTCCCAAAATATTATGACTTACACTGAAGGATTTCTAAAAACATGGCTGGGGTTTGTTCCACGGCTAATTTCCTTCCTCTGTAGAGAGTTGGGAAGGAGGATTTCTTCTCTAGGATTTTCATGAACCGTCTCTCTGGGGCTTTGTGCCCACTCTCCCACCCATTGGCGTGGGATCAAATCTCCTGGGCCTGTGCAAATAAGAACTCAAGGTCGCATTCCATTCTAGGGTTGATAGCAGGGACACAGAGAGCAATTTCCCTAGGATTGGAAGGCTATATTTTGAAAAATGTAGATAGCTACAGTCTTTGTTGATATTTCCAAGTGTTTTTTTTGTCTGTAAAGATACATGTATACATTTTAATAATTTAAGGAATACAGAATAGGAATACAGAAAAGAATTCTCAAAATTTGTAAAAAATAGTTTAGACCTTAAGCACCAATATGTGTGTGTGTGTGTATGTGTGTGTGCGCACATCTTCATAGGTGTGCAGGTGTGTGTGTGTGTGTGTGTGTGTGTATAGAGGCTAGAGGTCACCCATAGGTGGTGTTCCTCACACCCATCCATCTTGTGTTTTGAGTCATAGTCTCTCATTGTGACTGGGAATCACTAAATAGGCCAGGCTGCGCTATCTCTGTCTCCCCTCACACTGGGATTACAAGTCCAAGAACTTCTTAAGTGGTGCGAGGGGTCAAACTCAGGTTTTTATATAGAGCAACAAGTACTGCACTGTTGAGCTATCTCTCTAGCCTTTAAGCACAGTTTTTGCCGTGTTTTTAGTTAATGTGAATGGATATCTTTCCACATCAGCAAATACTGATAAGCCTTGTATATTTTAATGGCTGATATCCTATCTTTTAACCTGGTTGTCAACTACTTAGTTATACAGTAGTGCTGTATAATAAACAGCCTCCAGATTCAGTAGCTTTAAGTTGGGTATTTTTTGAGCTCACAAGTTTGCAGTTGACAATTTAGGCTGATCCCAATTGGGCTGCTCTTCTAGACTGGGCTGGGCTTGTTCTTGTCTGTGAGTCAATTACCAGTAGAATGACCTCAGGTATCCTTGACAAGGGAAACTAAGATGATTTTGTTTTGCTATACAGTCTCCAGACTTGTGCTCAAGTTAAAAGAAGAACGAGAGATGAAGAAATCTCCACACAAGGGGCTTTTCAAATCTCTGCTGGAGTCAGGTCAACCAACATCACTTTGACCATGTCAAATTGCTTACCTGAACTCAAAATCAAGGGATCAAGGTGAGAAGAACTTCAAAGTCACCTTTCAAGAGGCAAGGGTAAGGCTGGGGTGGGGTTCATTCATCAGGGTACTTGCCTAGAATTCAGGTTCGATCCTCAGCACTTCTTCACCTGGGTGTGGGGGTGTACTCCTGTAATCCCTGCACTCAGGAGGCAAAGGCAGGAGGGCCAGCAGTTAAAGGTCATCCTCAGCTACGAAAACAGTTTGAGGCTATCTTGGGCTGCATGAGACCCTGCTTTAAAAAAAGGTTGGTGGAGCTGGGGGTGGGAGTGGTCATATTGATTTAGGCTTATTCATGTAATCACCTCCCCAAAGACACATGTACCTCAACACTCAACATCTGGGCATACATTTACAGACTGTCTAACAGATGGGTTCAGTTTTTGATGCCAGTGTTGCATGAATGTCACTTTGGTGGAGATTTTGGTAGATGCTTCCCAGTAGGCACTGTGCTCTGGGCTATCACCTAGCCTTACCTCCCACAACTGTCTTGTGCTGGTCTTCTTCCAGACTCAGACTGGTCTTTCCTGTTTGGAATGGTCTTGATGTCCTACAGATATCCAAGCACTGTCCTGAGTGCAGGAAAGATGTCTCAGTTTGTCCAGCATTTCACTGGTTTTAAAATATAAAGTCTTGCACCTCAAGCTCTCCACCAGACCAGGCAAACCCAACCAACCGATTGTATGAGAGGGCCTTGGCAAACTTTAAAGGGCCAGAGAATAAATATTTTAGATCTCAGTTGAGAGCTCCTGATTCTGCCAGGGTGAGGTAAAAGTGGTTCTAGACAAGATGTCACTGAAGGGTGTGTGTGGCTGTGTGCCAATCCAACTTTATTTTCAGAAACAGGCAGTGTGCTGGGTTTGGTGCAAAGTCTTCTGAGAGTCTGTTGTGTTTTTAAGTTTTAATTACTGTGCCTAAGAGACCCATGAAATAAAAATGCCTCTAGCCTGTATAAGTCTTTTGCCCAAAGACAGATAATTCTTGAAATACTGGAGGCTATGGTTTATTTTTTCACCCCCTTAAATAAACTTGTTTGCCCTAACTGCACTGGACTTGATTGATCACATGTAGGCAGGAAGTACAGGACAGAAATATATCAGAATGTATGCTTGTCCCTGATTGGATGGAGGCAGGAGGTCCATCAGGATATATTCTTGCCCCTGATTGGACCTGATGGGCAATGCGGTCATCTTATGAGTTTGGCTTTTTAAGCTTCTGCAAAATGCAACTTGTTACCATTTTCTGGTAACCCCAAAGTGGTCCTAGTCTGAGCCCCTCATCCTGGCCGCCAGTATTTAATTAAAGCTTGCTTCAGATTTGGCTCAAAATTTGTGGAACTGGTCTTTCTCTTGTGAGTCTCAGGTTTCTCAGTGAGTAACAGGCTTTAATTTTCTGACACTTACCTAAAGCTGGGCATTTAAGTGTATGTTAAGTTTTTTGTTGGTTTATGTTTCAGTAATTTCCCTCTCTCTCTGGTTGGAATATAAGGGGAGTGTAACATCTTTATACTGGACTCTGTGACTCAGTAGCTATGTGAAATTGAATGAGTTACTTACCTCCCTGGCTTTGTTTTCTTTATCTGTCAGATGGGGATAATAGTAGTATTTGTTATGGTAAAAATAAAATGCAGCAGGTCCCTGAATGGTGGCAGTGGCAGCCGTCAGAGACCATGGTGGGGTGGGCCATGAAGGCAGCCTGTCCCAGGCAGGGAGCCATGCAGTGGGTGAGAGACAGAGAGCCATGCAGAGAAAGTGGGTATTTAGTGGATTATGGAGGGGAAAGGGAAAGGGGGAAGGGGAGAAAGGGGAAGAGCAAAGAGAGGCAGAGAGAGGGGGGGCAGAGGGGAGAAGTGGGGAGAAGGGAGAGAGGCAGAAGCTGCCTCTTCAGGAGAGAGACAGAAAGTAAGGAACTCAGGCTGGAAGCAGAAGGAAGATCTGTTTGCCTCAGCTCAGCGGATGGGGGAGGGAGTGGGCGGGGTTTGTCTCTTAAAGGGACAGCACAGACCATTACAGTATTGATCACCATTGTGTTTGGGAGGATAAATCTTTTCACTGCACATGACTGAATGAGTGCTCAATAAACAGCGGTCATCATCATCACCATCACCATGCCATGGGCTTTCTTCATTATGTAGCACAATTCTGGTTACAGAAGTCATTCAGTGCATAGAACCACACAGGCCTTTTAGGTGGTATTGTCTGAACACTCATTCAGAGGTGCCTCCCTGAATGTTGGATGACCTTGTTTCCATGGTTACCGACATCCCTGAGTTACTGAGAAGTCAAACCCCAGCCTCCCCATCACAGGTGCTCTATCCCCCCCAAAAGCCATCTTCTGCCTTGTACCCCATCTCTTAGCTTCCTCTATACCTTCCCAGGCTGTGTGGATATGGATCAAGAAGGGACTCCCCAAGATCATAGCTGGAAGCTTCTAAACAGGCGTTGAAGCTACTGGCAATAATGAAACTGGTGGGTGTGCAGGGTGCTAGGATTGCCTGGTATACGCGAGCTGCACAGGGTCCTTCCCTGTGTCGGGGAGGAAGAAGCGAGATCACATGGCAGGTTCAGTGACCCCCTCCAAGCCAGACCCCACCATTTTATCAAAAACTCTTACATCTTAGGGCTGGCTCAGCTTTGATCTTGGAAAATGAAAGGCTGGGTTTCTGGGTGCCCCACTGCCAACTTTTGCAGCAAGAGTGAGCCTTGCTGATCCTGCCAGCTCAGACGTACTCCATTTCCTGGTAATTAAACAAGTGGCGATCAAAGCCGACAAATCTCCTAGTCTCCTGGCACAGGAGATGAAGGTAAATAGTTCCAGCAACAGTTCTTTTTCTTTTCTCATTAAAAGTGAAACATGAAATGTCTTCTTACTTTGAAGAAAACGAATGTGTTCAAGGTCAGCCTAGAGATGTCCTCCCAGCCACCTTGGTTATTCCATATTGGTTCTTATTCTCTGCTCAGTGGAGTGGCGGGGGAAACAGCACCTAAATCGAGTCAGGAGACAAAGGAAAGGTACGGAACACACCCATCTGGTAACCTTGATGCTTGGTGACACCTCCTTTTTGCTGGGCAGGGCCAAGAGCTTTGGAAGCCCCTCTCCAGTTACTGCATCCAGGCCTCTACCTGAATGTCAGGCAGCTGCCTGTGCTCTCTTGGCTATTTTCCCATACTGTCTTTTGGGATTTTCTGTCTTCTCTGAAAGGAACAGTTCACCAAGAGGCTCTCCCAGGGCCATCATCAGTTCAGGGAACTCCACGCTGAAGGTTAAAGATGCCTGCTGAGGGGTCTAGGTGATCTCTTTTCAGTGCAGGCAGCAGACCCCACTTGAACTTGCTCATGTTTAGGGCAGGTGGGTACCATGGGGACCAATGAAGAGCCCCTGGGAGCCCCAACTGGGTCTCCAGGATTACTAACGTCAGAATCCTGGAGGCCCAAGTGTTGAAATTGGAGCGGCAGGGCTGCGTCCCCGGCACCCGGCCGCCCGCATGGCTAGTTTATACCCAGAAATAATTACACAGAAACTGTATTCTTTCCAACACTGCCTGGCCTGGCGAGGTCCAGTTTCTTATTGGCTAGCTCTTACATATTGTTCTAACCCATTTCTAATATTCTGTGTAGCCCATGAGCTGGCTTACCAGAGAGGATCTTAACCTGCGTCTGTCTGGAGTGGGAGCATCATGGCGACTCTTCTCACTAAGCTTCTTTTTCCCAGCATTCTCCTCTGTCTACTCCGCCTACCTAATTTTCTGTCCTATGAGGGCCGAGGCAGTTTCTTTATTAGTAAGAAATCACTCCCACATCACCCAAGGAACAGGACCACACAAAGGATGGCATCTGCCCCAGACTCTCTTTCCCTCACTGCCCTCTTCTTCCTCTTCTGGCTCCACCCGTGGCTTCTGGGTCATTGCTGCTTCATCCTGGTTTCTGTTTGCTCACTGTCTCTGGAGGCTGACTTCAATCTGGGTCTTCCTCATGTCCTCATGCCCAGTTCTCCTGCTTTGGCCTTGACTTTTCATCCCTTGTCCCCAGTCCCACATTCCAGAGAGAAGGTAAATGTGGAGGGTGGGAATCTGATTGATCTGATCAATGATCTTGAGTCAGGCTATTGATGTCACAGTTCTGATCAGTCTGCAGGTACTTCAAACCCACCTTTGATCCAATTATCTGTGAGTACAGGACCTTCTCAAAGTCATTGGATAAGAAAGAATGTCATCTTCTGTGCTGGGGACAGAGATCAGTAGGTGGACTGCTTGCCAAGCACATACAAATCGTCAGCTTGGATTCCTAGTGCCACATAAACCAAGCATGGTGTCACACACTTGTAATCCCAGCACCTGGGAGATGGAGACAAGAGAATGAGAAGTTCAAGTTTATTCTCAACTACACAGCAAGTTCAAGACCAGCCTAGGCTACATGAAACCTTGTTGGAAAAAAAAGTTTCTCTCTTAGTAAACTGTGTTAACAAAATATTCCTCATAAGTGGCCCTAACTGTGACCAATTCTTGGTAGGACAGATTGCAGAGACCGAGTGTTCACTTAGACTGCCATGTTTATTAACTGGCTTTGTTTTTTGAGATGTAATTCATGTACTATAAAATTGCCCCTTGGGGGGTGTTATACTCTACAAGATTTTGCAACTACTGACACTAATTCCAGATTATCTCATCATCACTAAAAATAAAACTCCATGTTCATGAGCATCCACTTCCCACTTCTCCTCCATCCAGCCCCGAGCAGTCACTGATCTGTTTTCTATTTCTGTGATTTGTCTATTTCAGGCATGGCATGTCATTCAAATCACACAATCTACAGCCTTTTGTGTTTATGGTCTTCATTTAGCATAGTGTTTGGGAGGCTTATTCACGGCACAGCATGGCTCAGCATCCTCAATTTCACTGCATAAAATTCTATTAATGGGTCTATTGTATTTCTTTTCCCACAGCCTCTTGTCTTTCCATGAGCACTTGTGTTGTTTATACCTCCTGGTTTCGAGTTATATTGATATGAATATCTTATCCATCCTGTGGCACACATGCCTTGCAATGAGACTTGCTGAATCATATGGTAATCCTATGTTTAATTTCCAGAGGAGCTGCCAAACTGCTTCACAGAGTGGCTGGACCACTTCACAGTCCCACCAGGAATGCAGGAGGAGTCTACATTTTCTCTCCCCTCACTAGCGCTTGTCATCTGTCAGGTTACAGCCATCTTAGTAAGTGTGAGGTGGCATTTCATTGCTTTAACTTGCATTGCCCTAAAGCTTTAAGCACTATTTCCTGTGTTCATTGATCACTTGATGTTTTTGAGAAATGGCTGTTCAAATCTTTGCCATTCAAAAATAGTGGGTCATTTGTCTTCTATTAGTGTTTGACTTGGGTATAGTCACTCAATATTTCTGGAACTAGATTTTCTTATCTTATTAGTAATGACTTCGGGCGATCTGGAGACAACCTGTGAGGCATTGCATGTCAGAGTCTAAAACAGTGCCTGAATCATGAAAGAAGCAACAATGATATTATCCTTGTGTCCTTATGGAGACTAGTTTATTCTCTTGATGACACTCTTTCTCACACCAAGGTATCTATTTTGGGGGTGGAGGTTAACTTAAGAATATATTTTAAGAGGCCTAAATGTGGCTGGAGGAAAGTTTACCCATCCTGCAAGTTGCAATTGATGGCTAGTGTCCTTTTGGCTTACTAGGGATTCTGGTAAAGACTAGAAATGAGGATAATAGAATAATTTGGGCAGTGACTTAATATATTGTGACAAAATATCTGAGGACCTCAACTTAAAGGAGGACAGATTTATTTTGAATCATAATATCAAAGGTTTCAGTTCAGGTCACTTGACTCCATGGTTTTTGGGTCCTGAGTGAGCATAAACATGGTTTTGGTAGAGCTACTTAGGGCAGACAGGAGAAAGGGTAGGGAGGAGGAAAGATAGATTGGTAGGAAGAGGAGAGAGAGAGAGAGAGAGAGAGAGAGAGAGAGAGAGAGAGAGAGAGAGAGAATAGGAACAATAACATGAACCAGAGATAAGACAGTTTTCTTAGGGTACACTCCTAAACCTACCAGATTATGAGTCCATCAACAAGCAGATTAACCCAAAGATTAGGTCACAGCCATCATGATGCAGTCATTTCCCAGAAGCCTCACCTCTGAATAGTGCTTGCCTAGGGACTAAGAGTGTGCCAGTCCTTAGGGATGCATAGACATGAGTCATAACAGAAGGTGAGCTAGCTAGAGGGCTGGAGGACACTGGCAGAGGATTGATAAAGGTGATTTTTTATGAGGCTTTACCTGTGGTTTGTAATCTAAAATGTCTTCCCTCCAAAGAGCTGGTAAAATTTACATTTTACTAAGCATTGTAGGAATGGATTTTTTTTGCGCACTTTTTAAAGTGCTTCTGGCTTAAAAGGGTATAGAATGAGTCTCATTACTGCCAAATTGTGTTTCAACCTCTCTAAGATTTGAGACCACGATGGTCAAGTGTAAAGCTCTTTCCTGGTCACTCACAGGGATGTGTAAGAAGCAATGCTGGCTCAATCTCCTTCAGGACTGACTGTGTTGCACCCTCTTCATCCTGCTATCTGTTGACTATAGAGGTTTGACCTTCACATGACTGATGGGTAAAGAGACTGTACCTCTGCTGTGCCTGTGTGTATCAATTCAAGGCTATAGCTGGCACAGCTCCTTGGTGAGTACACTAATAATATGCTGTTTGGGACCTTAGATTTCCAGCCAAAGTTCACACTTTGAAGACTTTGTATACTGCTGATGTCATTATTAAGAGACCATTGAACTTTGAGGAAGTAAGATGTGTTTGGAAGAAGTGGATCACAGGAGGCACGTTTTATGTTTTAGGACCATCTCCTCCTAATCTCTCACTGGTTTATGAATGTTATGAGATGAGCAGCTTTGTTCCACTGTGTGTTCCCAATATGATGCTCTTCTTTACCCCATGCCCAAAGTGGTTAGTCAACCACGGACTGAAACTTTTGAAAATATGAAGTTATTCCTCCTGTTAAGTTATTTGTCACAGACATTCTGTCACAATGATAAAAAGTAACACAGCTCTGGGGCTATAGATGTTTCTTAGTCCATTTAGAGTTCAGAAGGAATCTCCATTGCCAAGAGGACCCATGGGGTACCACAGAAACTCTCCTCTGCATGGGCAGAATATTTGTGCACTCTGTTTCATGAGGATATCCTAGCCCTAGCAACACAGAATTAGAAAGTGAAGCTTTACGGAGATAGTCAAGCAACAGGGTAAAGACTTCATGGATGGATCAGTGTCCTTGTGAGAGCAACCCAGAGGTCTCTTTCACAATCTCTTTACCATGTTAAAATTCAAGGAGAAGCCTGCAGTGTGCAAGCCAGAAGGATGCCCTCACTAGAACCCAACCACGCTGGTGTCCTGGGCTGGGGCTTCTAGCGTCCAGGTTTATAAGCAATACCTTCCTGTTGTATCTAAGCTGCCCAGTCCACATTATGTCACTATAGCAGCTAACTTAGACACTGTCCCCAGTTCCTGAAGTTAAGTTGATTAGGGAAGGTGAGCCTTTGTTTGGGAGTGGGAGTGGAAGACAGTTTTATGCCCCTATTTAGAGATTCCTTTTTATTGTGGGCATTAGTGGTGACTGACTTACTTTCATCTTTCAAACATTAGAGGACAGTTTGTTTAGTCTAGTGAACAGACAAGGTAAGTACCCATCTATAACCCACACACCAAACCAGGCATGTTCTGAGAGAAGACTCCATCTAGTAGGAGAAACAACATGCAGGGTAGCTAGTGGAATAAAACAGATGTGTGACTCCAGTTGGCAGGACCCTGCTCTAGGCAAGCTGCTCATTTTGATGGGGGCACCGGGGAAACTTCTGTGAAGGGAAGAGGAGGTCAGGTTCCTGGATAAGGGCTCATAGGAGGTACAGAGGGCCGGATGGTTGTAGACCAGGCAGGACACCGGATGGGCAGAAGAGGAGGATGAGGCCTTTGATGTTGGTCAAAGTAGCAGACTATGTTTTTGAGCAAAGGGGAGCCTAAGGTGGAATTTCAGCAGGACTATGGCATGTTCTGTCTCTTTTCAAGAAAAGAAGAGAGAAGGATGAAAAAAGAATTAGAAGGTTGAAAGGCTGGGGGTACTGAGTAGAGGTGACTGGACTATTCTGAAGAAGATGAAAAATCCCAGACAGTGTTGGGGAGTGCATGGAGTTGGACAGGCCACAAAGGAAAGCCTTCTTTCCTTCTGGTATTTCCTCTTCCAGGTCTGGAGCTCAAAGATGTCCTCAGGCAGTTAGCCCCATCTGCCAGGTCTGCTGTCTTCCAGGAGACCCCTCCCTCTTCTTGGATACACAGGAAGAGAATAGTCGGAAAGACTGCCAATCTCTGCAGGAGCTGGTCAGATCAGTGGAGGGGGTGGGGCGGGGGGTGAGGGGTGTCAAGGCACGAGTTTCACAGAAGTAGATATCAACTGGCCTAGGCCATTAGCAGTTTGTTTGTGAACTGTCCTCCTGGCTCGTGTGTTTGAACAGCTGTAGAGCTGGTAGTGTTATTTTAAGAACTTGTGAACCTCTCTGGTGCAGCTGGCTCACTGAAGACAGGCGCCTAAGGGTTCTAGCTTGGCCTCTCTGTTTGCTTCCCCATCCAGCCTCCATGTGAGGAGCCTCACAGTCCCATCACCAGCACTAAGTAGCTCCTCAGGCTCCTGTGTCTTCCCTACATGATGAACTGAAACTCCCGAAACCAGTTCTTAGAGAAGCTAAATAAGAAGGAGAACCCAAAGAAAATCATATAGGCATCCTCCTGAATATTAACCTTCATCAGGCGATGAAAGGAGACAGAGACAGACCTACATTGGAGCACTGGACTGAAATCTCAAGGTTCAAATCAGGAGCAGAAGGAGAGCGAGCACGAGCAAGGAACTCAGGACCACGAGGGGTGCACCCACACACTGAGACAATGGGGATGTTCTATCGGGAACTCACCAAGGCCAGCTGGCCTGGGTCTGAAAAAGCCTGGGTTAAAACCGGTCTCGCTGAACATAGCGGACAAGGAGGACTACTGAGACCTCAAGAACAATGGCAATGGGTTTTTGATTCTACTGTACCTATTGGTTTCGTGGGATCCTAGGCAGTTTCGTGGATGCTCACCTTACGAGACCTGGATGGAGGAGGGTGGTCCTTGGACTTCCCACAGGGCAGAGAACCCTGATTGCTCTTTGGGCTGACGAGGGAGGGGGACTCAATTGGGGGAGGGGAAGGGAAAGGGGAGGCGGAGGTGGGGAAAAGACAGAAATCTTTAATAAATTAAAAAAAAAAGTTTACCCCACAGAGGAGATACAACTCCTCTCTACCTTGTGGTAACGGGGATGGAGATGAGATCCAAACATGTTTGTATTATGCTGATTAAACCTTGCTTATTACAAAAAAAAAAAAAAAAAAAAGAAACTCCCGAAACCATAAGCCAGTGAAAAGCTTCTTCTCCCTTAAACTGCTTCCATCAAATATCCCTCATGGTGATGAAACAAAAGTAAGCCTTAACTCTATCTTTATGTCTTTATTATCTTCTGGACCTGTCTTCTCTGCTCTATTCTGTGACTCTCAATCACCATTAAGACACATTGCAAGCATTTGTTCTGCAGGTTGGGGACACGGTGGTCTTGCACGTACTTAGTTGGAACTGGTGGGAAGAGTAGGGAATGAGTAAAAGCCTCTCCCTCCTCCTCCTTATCTTGAAAGAGAACCTGTTCTGGAAGCCTAAGGGTTGTTAAGGACTGTGGTTCTCGTAGCCTTGCCCTCAGAAGTCTGGTGTGGACTTGGTTGACACTGCACTTTCGACTCATGATTCTGGTGTCCTCCAAAGTTGAACACAGCTGGTTCAAGAATATTCGTTCTGGAAAAGAGGGAGCTATGTTCTCTGACCCCTGAGCTTTACTCGGGGACTAAGCAACTAAATGCACTAGGTTTTAATGACCTTAAGCAGACAACAGCATTAGGTCTCTCTTACCACAGAAAGGTGACAGATTGAGTATCTAGAAGCTTTCCCAGTTGGTTCAGAACATTTTTTTACCTTTCTGTGAGCCATAATGAGTCTCTTTAGTCTGTGCACATATAAGAATCAACACAACATCACTAACCTGACTCTCCCCTGTGTGCGCATACAGGACCTCCAACTTCTTTGCAAAATCATTCAGGCAATTAAGGATAGGCCCAAAAACATCATGCTCTGGGTGCTGATGAATGATGTATTAGTCTCCCTCTTTTCTGCCTTATTTATATTAGAAAATTAAATATGTGTAAAATATAAAATGATAAAGTGACCTGATGTTCCTGTTATAACTCCTAATCAATCAATACTGTTTATTTCTAAATAATATTTTATATAATTTTACTTATTCTTGTTTTGATAATTCTGTATGTTTATGAGATACAATATGATATTTTGATGTATTTACACCATGTATAATGATGAAATAAGGATAGCTGAGAAACCCATCACCTCACATACATTTTTTCAAAGACTAAAAAAGAAATTATGTTTTGCCTGCATGTATGTATTTGCTTCACATGCATTCCTGATGCCCACAGAGGTCAGAAAAGGGCATCAGATCCCCTGGGCACACGCCGTTAATCCCAGCACTTGGAAGGCAGGCGGATCTCTGTGAGTTCGAGACCAGCCTGGTCTACAAGAGCTAGTTCCAGGACAGGCTCCAAAACCACAGAGAAACCCTGTCTCGAAAAAACAACAACAACAACAAAAAAGTTACAGATAGTTGTGAGCTTGCATATGGATGCTGGGAACCCAAACAAGGTTTTCTGTGGAGCAACAAGTGCCATCTTTTTAGTCCCCACTAGCCGCTTCTTTTGTGGAAGAACACCAAACAGCTTAGCAATTTTGAAATATTCAATGAATAATTATTTGTCCTATAGAGAGATCCCTAAATTCCTCCTGCCTGCCTGACATCTTACGTCCTTTTGTTAGCGTTTCTCCTTTCCATCTACCCTCTCCTCAGCTCCTGGCAACCATCATCTACTCTCTAGTGCTAAGAATTCAACTTCTTTAGAGTCAACATCTAGGTACATCATACAGTATTTGTCTTTCTGTCCCTGGCTTATATCACTTAGCACAATCCCCTCCATGTTTATCTGTGATGTTTGAAATGAGGGTCTGTTTCTTTTGAAGGCTTAATGGCATTCTGTGTGTATACACCTCATTTCCTTTATTCATTCATATTCATGGGCACCTAATTTGTATCTCTGTTTACTATGGTGAATAATATTCCAGTGGACAAGGAAGTGTGGCTGCCCTTTCGGTTTGACTGAAACTCAGAGTAGAGCTAACAGAACACTTGGGGATCATAGTCTTGGTTTTGAATTGTTTTCCATAAGGACTGTATAGACACAGCCTCATCAGTAGCTCACAAGTTCCATTGTAGGCACACCGTCACCAGCACCTCCTTTTTGTCCTTCTGATAATCATCCATCTCACAGGTGTGAGGTGATGTCATATTTTGAAGATCAGTGGTCATGAGCCTTTTTCATACATCTGCTGACCATTTGCAAGTCTTCTTTTAATAAATGTTTAATTAGGGGGCTGGAGAGGTGGATCAGCAGTTAGGAGTACTTGCTGTTCTTCCAGGTGATCTGAGTTCAGTTCTTGGAACCCTATGGGCAGCTCACAACTGATCCTCATTCACACCAGCTTCCAACAGCTCTTCTGCTCTCCTTGGGCTCCCATAAATACTTGGTATATACATGCGCGCACACGTGTGCACACACACACACACTAAAAAATATTCTAAGAAAGGAAATAAGTCTTTGGCACATATTATTGTGAGGTAAATCTTTAATACCCTATTTTATTTTTAAATATTTTGGCATTCATCTGAGAAGAATACATATAAGGGCTGTGTTTGTAAGAAACACATCCATTAATAGTATTGACATTCACAAATATAATTAAACTGATTTTTGGATTTCTAGTACTTCCACAAATATGACACATTTAGAATCATTTTATTTTAAAAATAAAAATAAATGTTTGCATGTTTTGTCGATATGTACCATGTGTATGCAGTGCTCGTAGAGGCCGGAAGAGGGTGTTGGATCCCCTGAAACTGGAAGTTGTCAGTCACCATGTGGGTGCTGGGAAAGAACTCTTGTCCTTTGCAAGAGCAGCAAATGCTCTTAACCCCTGAGCTGTCTCTCACATTCCTTGAAACAGTTGTTTTAAAAATTTGAACCGGGATTTCTTAAAAGCTGTAAATGTAATATGTTGCTGTATTTCTTGAGTTAAAAAGAATATTACTTTAGTCGACTACAGAGTCTTTACTAGACTTCTTCCTATATAGATTCCTTCATATGTTTTTTCCTTATGGAAGGAGCTAAGATTAATAGCATTAGAAAGTCAGGAATAATTTCTTTTTTCTTTTTTTCTTTTTAATCTTACAATTCACATTGGTAAATAACGTCTGTGTACATAAGGCCACACTAGAGAGCAGCAGCGTGAGACCTGGTCTTGTTAATCTACCTGCTAACACGTAGACACTAAACTACTTTTCTCTTGCTAGTGTCTGCTCCCTATAAAACCCCACCATGAGTGCACAGTGAGCAGCTCAGGAAGCAACTAATGTAAATAACAGATTTGCATTAAACTCTCTCCCTATCAACTTTCTGCTTCCTGGCTAATAGTTTCTTCCCCTGGACTCCTTATTTCTTGGCCTTGGTCCTCTCCAGAGACAGCATGGCCTTCAATGCAAACAGATTTAGTAAAACAAAAATAAAAACAAAACAAAACCAAAAAACACCATGAGGTTATCAGACATACCTGTTTGGCTCAGTTTTCATAGATCAGAGTGGGACTTCAGTCTTTACTGTATTTTTTCTTCCTCCCATTTTCTCTCCATTTTCTTCTTCAAGGTCTGACCCATCTACTTCCCCCTTCTTGGTGAGTTTATTTATTGGTTTTAATCTCTCTCTCTGTCTCTGTCTCTCTCTGTCTCTTTCTCTGTGTTGGGGGGGGGTGTATCCATATATGTGAGGTTGCACTCAAAGGACAGAGGTAAGTGTCAGATCCCAAGGGACTGATGTTACAGGTAGTTGTGAACCTCCTGACAAAGATGCTGGGAATTGATCTTAGGTCTTCTAGAAAAGCAGTATGGGCTCTGTGGTGATTTGAATAGGAAATGCCCCCATAGACTCATGTGTTTGAATGCTTGGCCCATAGGGAGTGGCACTATGAGGAGGTCTGGTCTTGTTAGGATAAGTGTGGCCTTATTGGAGGAAGTGTGTCACTGTGGAGGTGGACTTTGAGGTCTTAAAAGCTCAAGTTTGGCCAGTGCAGCACACAGTCTCCTTCTGCTACCTGCGCATCAAGATGTAGAACCCT